GCAAACCCAAAAGAAGAAAGAAAACAAAATGGTGAAAAGACCCCCCCACCCCCAGCCCCTGCGCAAGAGGCATCTCTGCAAACATCATGCAAAAAGGAGAGCGGTTCTGCCTTAAGAGAAAGCCCGATAAATAACCCAGAAAAGAGAGACTCTAACAAAGCACTGCTTTACATGGGCTCAGGGAGCACAGAGAAGGGGAACCAAACTGAACTGCCTTTTGGCATTTCCAGATATTTGGCACTCTCGTGATCACATTTTTGTACAATCCATTCATTGAAGAAGATGAATCGCCACAACACCGGGAGGAGGAAAGAACGGGGATGGGGGCTCATACAACAAGAGAAGAAGGTTTTTTTTCCCCTTCCTCCTCCCCCCACATATAAAATTCAGTCCATGTGAACTGGAGCCTGGATTGCTTGCAAGCAGTCCAGAGAACACAAGCTTCACAGCACATTGAAAACAGAAGAAAACTCTTCCTAGATGGCATTCCTTAGGGAAAGTGGGTTGGTTTTGTTCTGTGGAGCGCACGCACATCCCACCAAGGAAGACTTTCCAAGGTGGCGGGAAAACGAAATAGAATAACTATCTATATATCTATATATAAGTCATTCTGGTTTTTTTTTGTTTTTTGTTTTTTTCGTTTTGTTTTACACACATCCAAAGATATGAATATTTTTGTAAAAATGAAACGGACAGCATTTCACATCTAAGTGCACAGAATCATTTTTGCCAGATGGGAATAATGTAAACAAAGGGCTGACTTTCAGGGCAGCCAGATCAGCAAAGGGGATGCCAGCCCCCCCCCCCACCGGGAACCCAGAGGCATTTTGCTGGGCAGGCGGCTGCTGCTGCTGCTGCTGCTGCTGCTGCTGCATTATTTAAAGTGGCTGGAAATCCAGGTCTAGAATTGCGCAATATTCATTGTATATAAAAGGAAACGCATATTAATTTAGACAAACAGCTGCAGCTGATGTCAATTTCCATATGAGTGTGTGTAAATCAATTAATTTATTGAATAATTTTTTTTTTTTGCTTTTTGTTTTTATTTCTGCAGAAGACCCTAGAGCCTTTCTGTCCTTGCTATGCTCACACCTCTTCTGTCCCCAGGCCTGACACAAGATACAGGTTGGTGGTGTGTCCGCATTGTGGACTGCAGGCTAGAGTAATGAAGATTTTTTTTTCAAAGTGCTTTTTTTTTTTTTTTTTGCCAATAAACTGTGTGAAGTTGCTGTGTTTGTTATCATCATTTTCTCCCTTAACTCAGTGTCTTTGGGGGCTTTAAACACCAGGAGGTGCCTTGTCTGTCATATTTTTCAGCACGTCATCAATCCTATCATCTTCAATAACAACTGTAAGGCAGAAAAGAGAGTGAAGAGTATAAGCAGGCCTTTTCTTCGGGAAAGGGGAGGGGGGAGGAGGAAAAGGAAGGAGGTCGAGGGGAGGGGGCTTCTCCCTCTCCAATAGATACCCACTAGGGCACTGAGCTCCCTCATCTCCAGCTTTCCTTAGCTTTCCTCTTCTGCCCACAAGCCTCTGTCCTTGTCAGAGCTACTCGGAGGGTGGGGGGACAGCCCAGGCTAGGAGGTATGGATTGCAGACTACCCAAGGGCTGGTGGGAGGGTAGTAGTGGCCCAGAAGGCTGACTCCCACCCGCCTGTACATCTACATACCTCCCCACTAGGGCTTATTTATTTGGAAAAAGGGCTCTACTGGCGCTGGAGGGTGGGGTGGGGGAGTGGTGAGGCACAGAGTTAGCTAGGCAAACAGCAGCCTCTCTGCTCTGTCAGCTCTGGATAACACGGCCAAGGGTCCCTGTGGGGCTGGGGGCGGGGGAAGGGGGAGGGATGAAGATGGCAACCCGGCCTTTGAGTTGACCTGGGCTAGGTTCAGAGAGGAGGGGAAGGGAGAAAGTGGGGGTGGGGGCTGGATTTCCCATGGGGTGGGGAAGGGGTGGGGAAATCCCTCTTCTGGTTCTCTCCTTTCTCACCCGTCACCCTAACTCGGCTCTCCCAGTCATGGGTGAGGGAGATGAGGAAGAGAGGGAGGCTGTCTTTTTTGCTTTTTGTGAGCATGTCCAGGAAGAGGGGGTACAACACGCAGAGGGCTCAGGTCTCCCTGGTCTCCTCTACCCCATCCCACCACCTTTCCCCAAGACCCCTAGGAAAGGCAACAGCAGGCAGAGGTTGGCTCTGCATTGCCACTGCGGTGGTGAAGAGGGGACTTTGTCCCTTTGCAGGCCCCCTCCCCCGTACTACCCCATGGGGAGGCCCCAAGTCCCTTAGCGTCCGGGGAAAGGACTCGAGGCTACACTGCGCAAAAAAAAAAAAAAAAAAAAAAAAAAGTTTGGCGGGGGCGGTGACCAGGCTGATCTAGCTGGGGGCCTCGGGGATGGCCCCGCTCCAGCTGAAAGCCGAGGCTCCTAGACTGGGATTGATCGAAGGGGGCAGAGGCCCGGAGACCGTGCTGGTTCAAACAGGCTGGGGCGTAGGGGGGATGGGAAGGGAGGAAAGGAAAGGAGGAGGGAGCACCAGCCCTCCCGCTGCTGGCCCCAGCCGGACCCCGCAGTGCGCCCGCCCTCCCCCCTCTCGGGAGACTCCCCTTTCTGGAGGGTCCGGAGATCCCACCAGCCTCTCTTTCTCTGGCCCTTGCAGGGCGCCCCTCCTGCAGCTTGTGGGTACCCCTCGGAGGTCTTCGTCTCTTCCCCATCCCCCAGCCTAGGGGAGCCCCCAGTGGGACCAAGACCCTCGTAAGCCTGCGTCTTTCCCTCCTCCCCTAGCTTCCGGGAGCACCTGGGGTGGGGGGAGGGTTAACTGTCTCGCTCCCCTTAACTGACGGGTGCCCCCGACCCCGACTTATGGGGGGTGATGCTGCATCCCTCGCCCTACTCCTAGCCTGTTACTGCCCCTGGGGTCAGAGCCCAGGTATGAAGAAGGGTGAGGCTCTGCTGACTGATCTCGGGAACGGGGAGCGCTAGGGATGGGGTTCAAACAAAGCGGGCTGCCCACTCCGGGATAGGGGAGATGTGAGAGTCGCCCCCCTCTCTTGTCCGCCTGCAGCACGCGAGGGGGGAATGGCCCGCGGAGGGGGAGAGGGGCTGGGCGCTCCCGGGGCTCCCTTACCTCTCTTGCTCCTGCCGATCTGGCCCAGTTTGGGCGGTCTCTTGTTCTGAGCCGCCCCGAAGAAGTTGTTGGTATCCTGCAGGCGGCACGTGAAGATCTGGCCCACGTCCCCCCCATCTCCATAGTGCCCCAGCTTTTCCTCGTTATACGGCAGCACTTCCGACATGTTCTCGCCCGGTGGTTCGGCACCGCCGCCTCCTCCTCCTCCTTCCCCGCCGGCGGACAGGGTCAGCGCTGGAGCAGGGGGGCGGCCGGAGAGTGGCGGTCCGGGGCAGGGGAAGGGTGCCCCGAGGCGGCGAGGTCTGGGGCGCGGGGTCGGGGCAGCCGGACCGCCGGGGGCCGCGGACTGGGGACAGGGGAAGCGGGAGAAGAGAGGGCGAGCTAGGAGAGAGGGAGCCCCGGGCGCCCGCAGCTTCGCTCCGACCGCCGCCGCCGCCGCCGCCGCCGAGTGCACCCTCCGCCCGCCGGGTGCGGTCACATCCTCGTCTCCGCCGAGCGGCTCCTCGGGCTCAGGAGGGGGTTATGCAGGGGGAGGGGGGCTGGGATCCTGGGGCGCAACGGGGGGGGGACTGAGCAGAGAGAGAGAGAAGGGGGATCCCCTTCAAGGCGAGCTGGGAAGGGCAGGGCAGGGCAGGGAGGAGGTGCAGGAGGAGGAGGGACGGGAGCCCCGGGGAGGGGGGGGGGAGCCGCTGGCGGCCCCTCTCCTGCTGCCTCGGCCGCCGAGGTGCTGCTGCTCCTGCTGCTGCTGCTGGTGGCGGCGAAGGTCCGGAGGAAGCTGATGGAGAGAGATGTGCAGAGACAGGGATTCGAGGGAGAGAGGGGGAGGGGACAGGGAGGAGGGGTGGAGAGGGAGAGAGGAAAGAGGGTAAGAGGGAGGGGAGGGGAAGAGAGGAGAGGAGAGATCCCTGGAAGATGAGTAACGTCACGGAGGGCCGGCCGAGCCTGGCCGCGCTCGAACTACGAGGGATGGCTTCCTGCTGGCGACACTCCCCGCTCCCAGGCCTGCCCCTTCTCCCCTCCCCAGGCACACTCTGTCCTGGCGGGGATCTCTCCACTGTGCGCTCCCTCCCCGCCCCCAGCTCCGCGGGCGGCCGAGTCCTGGGCTCGCCCCCTTCCCCTCCCCTGCCCCTCCCCTACCCCCTCCCCCTTCCCCCTCGCAGGGCCAGCCGCGCAGTGTTTACTCCGGCCCGGGAGGGAGCCAGGGCGCAGCGGCTCAGTGCCTCTTCCCAGGCCGCGGGGCCGCGCTACGCGATCTCCCCGGGTGCTTAGGCTCCGCCACCAGGATGCCTCTCCGTTGGAGGAGGATTATTAGTATTATTTCCCCCTGGGCTGGAGCTGGCCTCAGAGTGTGCTTCGAGGTCACAGCCCGCCAGCTGCACCCCATCCCCCATCCCCCATCACCACCACCCTGGCCCAGGGAGAGCCGAGCGCTTGGGAGACCCAGGCTAGGGAGGAATAGTTATTGCAATTTAGGGGGAAAGGCTTTTGTATGGGGAAGAGGGAGACTTTATACCAAAAGCATCTCTCCCTGTCCCCAGCGGACACGGTGGGGGCGTTCAGGGACACAGGCATGGGAAAGGGCTCTGATTTGATGGTTTAGGGGAGGGAGGCACTCCTCCCCAGGAGTGCCCACCTCTCCCCGGGACACGGGCTGGGGGTAGAGAGGGGAAATGATTTCAGTAAAATGCTAAGGGAATGGGACTGGAATTGGGGGGGGCACTCTGGTTTGGGGAAGGGCGAAGTCTTTACGGGAGTGTCGTATCAGGACAGAAGCGGGGGTGCATTATTGTAATACAAGCTTTGGGAATGACGGGGTCGAGGGGCGGCGATGCCTCTCCAGCAGTACCTCACCCCCTTCACTCCACGTTGGCCCCAGGAGAAGCCGAGTTCAGGGGTAGACACTGGAGGAAGAAAGGGCAATCGCACCTCCGGCCAGGGGAGCAGGCATTCACGCTTGGGGGCTGAAGAGGTGCAAGCGAGAGGGGAGTATAGCACGTCATTGCGTTCAGCTGCGGGGAGGGGAGTCGGGATTGGACAAGGGCAAGGCTTCTGGAACGCACACCTCTTTCTTCCCAATGCCCAGAGCCCCTCCCCGGGAGCTGCTGGCTAGTGAGGGAAACTGACCCCCACACCCCAACTCCCAGTGGCAGGGCTGCTGTGACTGGAGTACCAAAAGCGAAAAGGGGGTAGTTCATGATTAATGCACGGAATTGTCGTCTCCCTCCCCCATCCCCAGCCAAGTCCGCTCCCCTCTATCCTTGGGGGAGAGAGCGCCTTCAGTTGCTCCCAAGGAAGCTCTATTTCCTTTCATGCTCCACGGCCTCCTAGCCCCTTCCAGGCCAAGACAGGGCCTTTCCTCTCACTCTACCCCCCTCATAGCTCCGGAGGTAGGGGGAATGGGAGGAAGAGTCAAGCTGGTAAGTCTTCCCTCCCCAGCTGGTGCTCCTTGGTGTGGCCTTCAGGGAAGGTGAGGATTCCCTCGCTGGGGGATTAGGCAGGCATTTCCCGATCTATCCCTCCATCCCCCCCCCCATCTCCCGGGAGCCCGGAGGCTTTGAGCTCCCTAAAGTGAGGAAAGCCCTAAGTGTTCCTACCTTACCCACCACCCACCCCGACTCAGCACCTGCTCCTGTTCGGTGAACTGTGGTAACCTCTGCCCAGGGAACATCAGCCACCATTGGTCCTCTGAGAAGATCCTCCCTCCTTCCTGCCTCCCTCCCTTCCGTTCTATTTTCAATGTCATTTGGAAAAGGCTGAGGCCCCGGTGCAAGGAAGCACACCTGCTCCTCTGTTTTCAAGAGGAAGGGGAGGGGGAGAGTCTATAGTAGCTTGGAAGAGCAGAGGGAATCCCAGGGCTCTAAGAGGCTTGTCACCTACCCAGATGGCTTGCTAGGAGGAGGCCAAGGAGTGTGAAGGATGATCATTAGCATCCCGGAGTTCCGGTGACACCTGTTCTCCTATCCTACAGATGTTCTATTGGCTGGAGCTATCCCCCACAACAGAGGGGCAGTCATCCACCCAAGGTCACACAACCATGTTGGTAGCAGATCTAGGAAATTAATTCATGTCTGCCAATTCCATAGGTTCCTATCTTGTTTTAGCTACTACAGGGACCTCCCCAAGACACCTCAGCATAGTCAGAGTCCTGTCTGAAAGGAAGTTCCCAAGTACAAAATAGCCCCTTCCAATCCAGGACAGAAAACTGGAAGGGAGCACAGAACCAGGTTGTGATGAAAGTGGACTTGGAGTCAGGAGAAATGGGATCAGATCCTAGCTCCAACCCTTACTTACTTCCTGCCTTTGGGCAGGACAACGTGGTCTCGGTTACCTCCACTGTAAGACTGAGATAATAATTCTGGCACACAATCTACTTCACAATCCTTAGAATAACTTTGTTGTGAGGAAAGCTCTTTGCAAGACTTGGACAACTGTAGACATGAAAGCTGATACCATCTTTGCTCAGTGGGCATCAGGTATAAGGGAGACTCTTACACCCATTTCAGGAAGGCATTGATGTCCTTGGAACAGGTGCTAGAAAATCTCACTAGGAGAGAGGTGACCAAAAGGAAGAGGAAAGCAGCCCCACTCAGTCTCATTTTGCCTCTGGGGTCTTCAGACTCCCTAGCAAGATTTGTACTGTGAAAGGGCCTTCACCTCCAGGGACCCTTCACCCCCATGGCAAGCCAAGCCTCACAGAGCATCACAGGGCTGTCCTGGGCCCATTCACATTGCTAGGGAATCAAGGGAGACCAGAAAGCTGCACTATATCCAGTCAGTCATGGAATAGTAGACCTATGAGAGCCCTTAAGAAGAAAGAATGTCAGAATTGGAGGAGCCCTCAGAATATGGAATATTAAAGCTGGAAGAGACCTTAGAACATAGAATGTCAGAACTGGAAACGTGTAATGTCAGAATTTGAAAGGCCCATAGAATATGGAATGTCAGAGCTGGATGGAGCCCTAGGACAGAGAATGTCAGAACTGGGAGGGACCTTAAGACAGAATTTCAGAGCTGGGAGGGACCTTAGAACACAGGATGTCAGAGCTGGGAGGGTCCATAGAACACAGAATGTCAGAGCTGGAAGGGGCCTTAGAGCAAAGAATGTCAGAGCCGGGGGGATGGAGGATATAAAAACAGAATTTTATGTCAGCACTTTTGCTCAAATTCCAATATTCAACTTTTCAGATGGTAAACCCTTGGTAAAAGTCTGGGGATTCAGCTCATACAATGGGAGGGTAGAAGGGTCCTTAGAAGCCGTCTAGTAACATTTTTCAGATGAGGTAAATCAAGGTTCAAGAAGTGGAGATGGCCCAATGTCACAGCCAGTAAGTGGCAGTCAAGATGAGAGGCCAAGTACAAAGGGTTGGATGATGAGGCCACTGTCTCTGTCCTGCTTCCTCGCTTCATTCTGGGAACAGTGATCCAGTGAGTAGCTGCTATACCAGGTTGGCCGGGGCGGGGGCAGACATAAAGGAGCAACAATACTGCAGTCCTAAAGATCCTGCTATCTGACATTTGCACGGTGAGTTTAGCTCCACCCTAGTGCTGCAGATCAAGGATTGTGGCCCTCACTTTATTGAGGAAGCACAGAGAGGTCATGAATGGAGCCAAGGACATGACATGGCTCTAGCACAATGCCCAGCACATTGTGGTTGTTTAGTTGTGTCTGTGACCCCTTGAGGTTTTCTTGGCAAAGAAACTGGAATCATTTGCCATTTCCTTCTTCAGTGGATTAAGGCTAACAGAGGTTAAGTGACTTGCCCAGGGTCACACAGTTAGTAAGTGTCTGAGGCCAGATTTGAACTTAAGTCTTTCTGACTCCAGACCCAGCCCTCTATCTACCAAGCCACCTCAATGCCTCCACCTGGCACATAGTAGGTGCTTAATATACATGTTTGTTGAATTGGAAGCTTGGCCTTTTAGCTCATTGGTCCAGCACTCAATCTTTTTGTAAGCTAGCTTTTAAAATTTACACACACACACATACATGTGTGTATATATATATATATAGTCATATATGTATAAATGTATATGGATGTATATCACAACCTTGTGAAATTATAACCCTGCAATTATATATACAGATGAAGACTCCTGACAGTAGATATACAGATGAGACTGAAAGAATGATTTGCCCAGAGTTACACAGCTAGTAAGTGTCTGAGGAAGGATTTGAACTTAGAACCAGGACTTTATCCACTGGTTCATTGAGCTTGCTGTATAGAAGTCACAGTCCCCATCCTCAGGGCAGCTGGGATCCAGAGAACTTTGCTGTGCCCTGGGCTCAGACTCAAGCC